GCCCATCCTTTTACACACAGAGTAAAACTTCGTGGATCCCCATTTCAGTCAGAGATTTCTATCCCTACTCACCTAGTTGTGGGGTTTTGTGCTGTTCTTTCACTCTCACCACTGTTAGAACAAGGTGTCCAGCTCTTGTCATCCACTGTAGGACAAGCGTGGCCCTGGCTTCCCAGATTCCTTCCAACCCGGGTCTCTTCTCCTGTCTTGGCTTCTGCTCCTGGGAATTCCCCAGTTCTTGAGCATTCTGCTGTGTGAAACTGTGCCCATTGTAATATGTTGCAGGATTTTTGTTTTCTTTCTTTTTTCCTTTTTTTTTTAAAGATGACCAGTAAGGGGATCTTAACCCTTGACTTGGTGTTGTCAGCACCACGCTCTCCCAAGTGAGCCATGGGCTGGCCCCAGGATTTTTGTTTTCTTTCTTTTTTCCTTTTTTTTTTAAAGATGACCAGTAAGGGGATCTTAACCCTTGACTTGGTGTTGTCAGCACCACGCTCTCCCAAGTGAGCCATGGGCTGGCCCCAGGATTTTTGTTTTCTGAATTAGCAGGAGTGAGTGTTTGAATGTTTCTCAAAAACTCATTAAGGCTTGATCCCCATTGTAACAGTGTTAACAAGTTGGGAAATCAAACTATGGTATTGGCAAGGTGGGGACTTTGGCAAGTGACTGGATCATGAGGATGCTGTCATGAATGGATTAATGGATTAATGCGTATAACCCATTCATGGATTGATGGGTTAATGATAATTGCTTCTCACAGGAGTGGCAGTAGGGGCTTTATAAGGAGAGAAAGTGAGCACATAAATGACATCTTACTCAGCCCTGTCCATGTGATAACTTGTGTCACCATAGAACTCTGTAGAGTCACCCAACCAGTGAGAAGTCCCTCACTACATGTGCTCTCTTGAGCTTGGACTTCCCAGCTTCCATAGCTGTAAGAAAGAAATTTCATTTTCTAATGAATTACCCAATTTAATTTATTCTGTTATAAGCAACAGATAATTGACTAATACAAGGGGTTCCCAGAATATCTATCTATGTATCTATAGAGTCTTATCTGAATCTATTCTGGTTCATTGTTGGGGGCCTGAAGTCCCACACCCCTTCTTGTGAGACTGCTCCGCCGTGACAATCTGCTCAGATGGCCGTGCTTTACATGATAACTGCCTCGAAATCTTTATGCCAGAAACTGATTGCTCCTGGCTATGCAAGTTAATTTGCAAGTGACCTTTTATCCTTCTCTAGAAACTGTTTAACCATAAACATTCTGGGTGGCAACCTTTACTTTGAATGTCCTGTCTTTGTCTCTCCTCAAGATATTATCATATCTTTACATTCCAGACCCTTTGCAGCATGCCTGCCTTCTCCTATATAAGATGTAACCTAAGAATCAATAAACGAGACTTGATCAGAATACTGTCTTGTCTCAATTTCTCGTGTCTCTTGTCCCATCCAATTCCCACTCCCCCCTCCAGGGCCTGCGTTGAATATCCTGCGGGTGGGGACAGTTCATGGCCAGCCCAATTCATGAATCATTCTTTGCTCAATTAAACTTCTTAAAATTTAATCTGTCTAAAGTTTGTTTTTTGTTTGTTTGGTTTTAACAAGAGGATATACAGATGGCAAATGAAACTATAAACAATGCAGACATCGCATTCCAGGGCATTTATTTCAGAGCAATGAGGATTTAAGGTCCCACAGAAACCTGTACATGAGAGTTTATAAAAGCTTTATTTGTAATAGCCCCAAACTGGGAACAACCTGAATGTCCTTCAGTGGGTAAATCGTTAAACAAACTGTGGCACAAACACCAGAAGATACTTCTCAGCAATAAAAAGGAACCGACTATTCACACAGGCAACAATCTTCATGAATTTCCAGAGAATTATGCTAGCCAAGGAAAAGCCAGTCTCCAAAGCTGACATATGGGATTATTTCACTTATAGAACATTCTTGAAATGACGAAAGTATGCAGAACAGATTGTCAGGTGGCAGGATTAAGGCGTGTTACAAGTGGGTGTGGTTATAAGGGGCAACAGGAGGGACCCTGTGGTGATGAAAACGGTCTCTATGTTGATTGCATAAATGTCAACGTCCTGATCGTCATATTGTACTAGTTTTGTGAGATGTCAGTAATGGGGCTCAGAAAGTGATACCTTAATATATAGCACCTCTTGACACATGGAGCATTTTCAGCTGAAGGAAACTGTGATCTTCTCTTACCTTTCTCCCCTGCAGGAAATCATAAAAAGAATTCTCTGATCCACCTCCCCTAAAAGTAGGTCATAAAACCCTCATCCCAGGGGGGTCCTGCCCTGCATCCAGAGCCTAAGAAGAATCTGAACAAACAGGCCTTGCTAGGTTCTCCCAGGTTATTCCCATTAGGTCGAAACGCTTTTGTCCAATCATGATTCCAACACCGCTGTCCATTCTTCGTCAAACCCAAGCATAAAGACAGACAGATGTCTCTGTTTGGGTCTTCATTTCTGAAGGCTCACTTAGCATGTGAAGCTTTTGTTAATTAAATTTGTTATCCTTTTCTCTTAATCTGTGTTATAGGTTCATTCTCGTTAGCCATGAACCTTGAGTCGGGTGGAGAAATGATCTTCATTGTCCTCCCCTATACCAGAACTGTAGGGAAATGAGTAAAGGGTGCTTTAGGGATTGTTGAGTGGCCACATGTCGGCCATCACCGCATTGCAAAGCAGGAGAGGGGTAAAGGCAGTGTTTGCGGGGGCGGTGCTGGGTGCTGGCTAGTTCAGTTTTGGAGATGTTAGGGTTTTAGATCAAAGTGTCCAGCTTCGGTCAGATTCAAGGAAAGTGTCCACTATTTGAACAGGGTGGTCTGGAGATGGGGAAACTGGGATAGGCTGAATTTAGCATGTGGCAGTCACTGGATCAAGGGATTGGCTTAAAACCAAGAAGGCAGAGTCTGCTGTCCACCCCCTCCAGCCCAAGCTCCCCAGGAACACAGCTATGGTCCAGTAAGTCAGGCTTATCACTGGTGGCAGTGAAGGCGATCACACCCCCCACCCTGGGGACCACGGGCAGCTCAGTAAGACGGTGCTCAGAGGAATGGACTATGTGACGTGGTCTCTGGTTGGGTGGTTGCAAAGTGCATTTAAGAAAACAGGTTCACACGCTGCTAGTTGGTTCTGGGTTGCATGTTATCCAAACACGGGACAATCCCATGATTGGGTGTCTCAATAAACCTCACCCACAGGGAAGGCTGGTAGAGTGAGCTAAAGCTGGTGAACAATTGGTAGTGACGCATTTTAGCCAAGGGAGGGTGTTTGGCCGCTTTTCCATTTTTGCTGAGACATAATATGAGGAGGACTGGCATTGTGTCAGAGGGTCCTCATCTGAGGTTGATGTCCTGCAAGGCAGTTTACGTCCAAGGCAAGAAGGACCTCCCTGCCAGCTTCCTGATATCCTGGGCTGGGCTTCTGTCTCAAATCTTCTTTCTCACATCCAAGGAAATGGAGGACATAGGGTGGCTAAGTGAGAAAGAGCCCGAGGCAGCCTCTGTTAAGGCGACAGTGCACTTACCCCACAGCCCAGTAATCCCATGTATTCATGGAAGAGGGAAGCAGGGACCATGACCAGAGCACAGGCTTGGGGGAGGGCACAGTGCACGAGTTTTAGAGGTTGCTCTGCTTTTTACTGTGCCCAGGCTCCCGCAGTTTCAAAGTCCTTACAAAAGAGTCCTCTCCACCACAGGACTTGGTAGTTGGTTCTCCCTGCTCTTTTGGCACACTGTGTTCAATAACCCTTGCTGGAGCACTGTCTATAATGGAGACGTGCTGGGAGCAAGCAGTATGCCCACAGGCAAAGAAAAGGCAAGCTACCGGGGCACAGGTTTCGTGTGACGACATAGAACTCAGGTGCAGGGAGTCTGAGGTCACACTGGGATGGATGGGGTGCAGAGATTCTGCAGTTACCCTCAGATGGATGGATGGGCCAGGGACTGTGAAGCTGTCCTTGATAAATTAATGAAGAACTGGCACTCGGAGGTCACGATCAGATTTGGGGGGCACAGGAACTCTAAGGTCACCCTTGATGAAGTGCAGGGGCTGAGATCACCCTTGGATGAAATGGGAGCAGGGCCTCTGAGGACATCTGGGGATGGATGGGGCATAGGGCCTCTGAGGACATCTGGGGATGGATGGGGCATAGGGCCTCTGAGGTCACCCTTGCTGGATGGAAGCAGTTCAAACACTGCTGGTGTAAGAATCACTCACTGCCAGTATACAGGATTACCCACCGCTAGTGTAGGGCTCACCCACTGCTAGTGCATGGGACTACACAGGGGTGTGAGGCTCACGCTGCTAGTGCAGTACTCACCAAGAGCTAGTGTAGGACTCACCCACTTCTCATGTAAGGCTTAGGCCCTGCTAGTGTATAGGATAACCCACAGCAAGAGAAGGTTCATTCACTGCCAGTGTAGAGCTCACCCAGGGCTAGTATAGGGCTCACCCACTGACAGTGTAAAAGCTGTTTGTCTAGGGCTCACACACTGCTAGTGTAGGGCTCTCCCCTGCCAGGTAGGACTCACTCGCAGATACTACAGTGCTCACCGTTTGCTAGTGGTGGGACTACACAGGGGTGTGAGGCTCACGCTGCTAGTGCAGTACTCACCAAGAGCTAGTGTAGGACTCACCCACTTCTCATGTAAGGCTTAGGCCCTGCTAGTGTATAGGATAACCCACAGCAAGAGAAGGTTCATTCACTGCCAGTGTAGAGCTCACCCAGGGCTAGTATAGGGCTCACCCACTGACAGTGTAAAAGCTGTTTGTCTAGGGCTCACACACTGCTAGTGTAGGGCTCCCCCCTGCCAGGTAGGACTCACTCGCAGATACTACAGTGCTCACCGTTTGCTAGTGAAGGAGTCACACGCCACTGGTGCAGGTAGGATCCCGCCTGCTCTATCACCCTGACTCTGGCCCTCTGCTTGACATCGGGCAGCCACTATTTGTCTACATAAGCAGGGAATAGTGGGATTACAGTGATCAAAATTTATTTAATGTGGGAACTCTGTCCTCACAATAAATAAAATGGAGGGGGAAAAGAGAAGTCAAGTGGTACCTTCTTATAAAGGGGGAAGAAACACCAAACCTTAACACACCAACACCCTCCTTGACTCTGTGTGCTTAGGGCTCTCTGCAGCCACCCTCCTCCTCCAGAGTGGAAGGACCACAGCCTCTGAAATGTCCCAAGCCCTTGGCAGGAGCCAAGACCCTACAGACAGGTTCCTGAAGTCAGGGACTGCCACCTGAGGTCAGTATGGAGACCAGAGAAGCGTTTGCGAGGGTAAAAGCCAGCAGCTCTCGGCCAGGAATATGCCCAGAAAGGCTTCCAAACACAACCATGAGACTGCAAGTGTCACTTCCAAGTCCTACTCTCACCTCCAGACCCCACAGAACTGCCAAAGGTGAATCTCTGCACCCAGGGCATTTTCCAGAAGGCCCTTTATTTAGGGACTTCTGCTCAGTTCCCCTCCTACTTGGCTTCCTCGGATCATCTTTTGCCTGAAGACTGATGTCCCTCCAGTAGGTGGCCCTCCCCTTTCATGGGACATAAATGGGTTTGGAACTGGCCCCCCTCCCAGCAGCCACATGGGGCATGTCCCTAGAGGTGGGGTGCTCGGGCAGGCCCTGGATGCTGTGTGTTTCTGGTGGGGCTTGCGAGGCTCAGGGCTTTGGTCAGGGCTGTTGATGCTTAGTGGCATCTGGTAGCCTGGAGGGGTCCCACAGGGAGGACAAGGCCCACCCCACATCTGCCCATGCCATTTCCAGAACTCAGGTTTTCCCATGTACACTCACAAAGGCACTACACGTTCCTCCCGTTGCCCAGAGGACACGCTTCCTCCACCCAAGTCCTCCAAGTGAACAAAACACCCAAAGCCAGGACAAGTGGCCGGGAGAAGGGAAGGGATTCCCCCGAGAGGGTCCAAGTCACTGGGGAACCAGGGCATCTCCAGGCCCGCCTTTCAGCCGGCAGATGGTCATAGGGGTCGGGCTGCTTGACAGAGGTGAGAAGAGGGGCCGGAGCGTCCCAGAGAAGGGGGTCTCGGGGAAGATGAACAACAGCGACCCGTCAGTCGCACTGTAGAATGACAGATGTCCGGCCTCATAGTCCAGAAAGATCCCCACGCGCCTTGGAGGGTCCCGGAGGGGCGCGAAGGCCCTTTCGGGCGAGGTGTAGTAGCTCCCCAGGAACACCAGGATCCAGAAGCCGTTGCCGGCCGACAGCTCGCCCTTCTCCTTCCTGTTCACGTTCTCCCTGCACACGCCCAGGGCCCAGCTGCTGCGGTCCCCCACCTCCACCTCCCAGTAGTGGCGGCCCGAGGAGAAGCGCTCCTGGCCCAGCACGCAGGGGCCGGGGTCGAAGCGCTCCGGGCTGTCAGGCAGGGACTGCCGCAGGTCACCCCGCTGCACGCTCCTCCTGTCCTCTGAAAGGACCAGCTCAGGGTTGGCAGTGTCTGGGTCCAGGGTCACATCCCCTGCGGGAAGAGGTTGAGGTCACTGAGGCACGGTGGCCACCAGCTCGGGCCCTGCCAGCCTGCGCTGCATCTACCCAAGGCTCATCCACCCTCAAGATTACTGGAGTTATCAAGTGTCCCCAAACAGACTGCTCCCCCGCCCCAGAAAAAATGACCTAACTATGTCTGGTAGCAACTCAGAATGTTTTAGAAAGTGGCCCACGTTTGGCCTTCAGATGACAGGAGGAAACGGCGCTGCTTTCTACTTCTATCTTTCCTGAGATCTCCAATGGAAGTCTGCTGGGTTCTGAGCCCACTTTCCCTCTGGGCTTTGCTGAGCCCCATCTGCTCCCAGGGCAACACAGAGACCCTGTACCAGGAGTGGCAAAGGGTGACTGTCCCAACACTGACCACCCCGGGGTTTGTGATGTGTCCACCTCTGTGGGCCTGCATGCAGCTCTTATACACAGACTCTCGACCTACTGGCCGAGGACAGCATCTCCTGTGGATGATAGTGGTGTCATTAGAAATAGATTTGGTTATTGTCCCCAGTTCCTAGCATAAAGCTCCTAACACCCTCAGAATTTCCTGAATAAATAGACTGTTTTATTGCTCATAAGAAGCCCCTTTCCAGCACACCTGAGGTTATGCTACTGAGGTGACTCAGGTGGGGATCCCAGGTATCCCAGGATGAGGCTGGTCACCAGAAAGACAAGATTTGGAACTCTCTGCCTGACAGTTCCATCCTGACACTATCTGGAGGTGGCCCAGGCGCCACAGGTAACGGCTTAGTCCCACAAGATGCCCCCACTTCGGAGGCCAGTTGCAAGTTCCAGGGGCTCCTGTACTTGTCTCCAGGGGCTTGGGAAGGCCCAGGATGCTATGAGTTTTTGGCGGGACTTGTGAGGAAACCCACCACCAACCTCGGAGAGGGGAGAGGGGCTGAAGGTTGAGTTCAATCACCAACGAGCAGTGGTGTAATCAGTCACGCCTATGGAATGCAACCTCCACACAATCCCCTAAGCGGTGCGGTTCAGGCAGGTGGTGCACCTAGACAGGGTTGGAAGGTCAAATCTGCTTCTCCAAACTTGCCCTGAGCATCTCTTCCATCCTGCTGTTCCTGACCTGCATCCTTTGTAATAAACCGGGAGCAATAAGTAAAGTGTTGCCCTGAGTTCTGTGAGATGCTCCAGCAAATTATCAAACCACATAAGGGTGTCAGGGGAACCCCCGATTTATAGCAGGGCAGACAGAAGTACGGGGGCCCCTGGAATCTGCCACTGGCATCTGAAGTGGGGGCATCTTGAGGGACTGAGTCCTTACCTGTGGGGTCTGTGCTAACTCTAGACAGTTAGTGTCGGGATTGAACTGAATTGCTGGACACTCAGTCAGTGCCCAGAAAGTTGGAGAAGTGCTTGGTGTGGAAAATACCCACACAGTGATGATGGAGGTGACAGCAGAGTTTTCCTATAACCCAAGCCCATGAGTTTGGAGCTGGTGGCTGCAGGACACAGAACACACTGCTGCCCACCCCAGGTTCTCGGGAGGTCCCCTTTCTCGGTCATTGCCCCCCCCCCCCGAGCCTCAGCACCCACCTCGAAACCTCCGCAGGGTTTCCACCAGCCCCGGGACCCTGCACACAGTCCTCAGCTCCATGGGCACCACTTCTGGAGGCTGCAGCTTCACATCCTGGACCCTAGAGGGGACAGCCCAGGTTTTACCCCTGTGGCCAGCAGCTGGGCACCCACCCCACACCTGCCCACTTGCCCTGGGAGAGGCCAAGGGCTCGTACCTGCGCAGGGCATCCTTGATGTCCTGTGGGAGGGACAGAAACACATACTCGGTGTCAACGTCTGTCATCCGGTCGTGCAGCCCCTCCCTGCCCCCTGGAACCTCACCCTGGCCCCTCTGTCACGGCCACTTCAGCCCCAGGCTGCAGAAACACACACAGCTGCAGTCAGAAACTGCCCCAAGCATGGCTCAGACTGGACAGAGGCTTGGGGTGCATGTTCCAGGAGGCATCACAAATCAGAGTACAGCCCAGCCCCCCAGACTGAGCCCCACTGGGCATTTGGCCACTGTCTCACCTACCCTCAGCGCTCCAAGTGAATGCTCTGGATGTTGATGACAGGCAAGGCTTGCATCCTGGCCTCCAAGGTTGGGGCGGTGCTATGCAAGGGTGTCTGTGCCCCAGCTGGGAGCCCGGCCCTGGGCACCATCCGCCTGCCCCGCTGGCACCCCTGCTCAGTGCTATGCCTCACCATCTCTCCCTTGTCTCACTGTCTCATAATATGACAGCATCTTTCTCAGTGTCATGGGCTAAACTGGGTGTCCCCACCACCACCACTACCACCAGATTCATACTTTGAAGTTCTAACCCTTGAGATCTCAAAACATGACTGTATCTGGGGATGGAGTTATTAAAGAGGAAATTAGATTAAAATGAGGTCATCAGGGTGGGCCCTAATCCCATAGGACTGGTCTCCTTATAAGAGGAGATCAGGACACAAACACAGAGGGACGAACATGTGAGGACAAAGGGAGAAGACGCTACCTACAAGCTAAGGAGAGGGGCCTCAGGAGAAACCAACCCTGCCCACAACGTGTCTCCACACAGACCCCTTGGGTCCACATTTCTGGGTTGACCCTTCTTCCTCCTAAAACCCCCCTAGCTTCTTTAGCATCGCTCCCTCTCTGCCCTCGGCCTTGGACTTAGTCCCCAAAACTGTAAGAAATAAATCATGTTTATAAACTACCCAGCCTCAGGAATTCTGTTATAAGCAACAGAAAACAGGCTCATACAGAATGGCAGTTCCTGGGCCCTTGGCAACCCGTGTCTGAGCCCAGGACAAACTCTGTCCAATGCTTCCTGCACTTTCTCCTTCTCCATGCTTCACCTGACATGTCTCGTCTGTCTCTGAGTCCCCAGGAGCATGGAGAGGCCACCGCACGTGCCCACTCCCAGCAGCAAGGCCCCCACCTGCTCACCTGCAGCAACCCCAGCGCGGGCAGCTGGCAGCGGCCCTCCAGCTCGGCAATGAGCTCGGCCAGCTGGGCACTCTGCTGGCCGAGCCGGGCTGCGCCCTCACGCAGCCGGGGCAGCACCTCCAGCTCCTCCTCCTCCAGCTTCTGCAGCAGCTGCTGCTCCTCCTCGGCCAGCAGGCGGCGCAGACGCTCGAACTCGCCCAGCACGTTCTGCCGCTGGCTCTGCACCATCATCTGCGGGCGCAGATGGGGACAGCTGAAGCCGAGCTGGTGGCGACCGGACCCCAGCCCACCACCCAGGACTGACCTTACAACTCCACTACCCTCGGGACTTCACAGACCCCAAGCCACCACCCAGGGTTATCTAGACCCAAAGCCATCACCTGGGCTTCATGGACCCCAAATCCATCATCCGGGGTTATCTAAACCCAAATTCATCACTGGTGCCTACCTGACTCCAAATCTACCACTCAAGGCCAGCTGGAACTTAATCCACCACCCAGACCACAAATCTACCACCCAGGACTGGCCAGACCTCCAAATCCACCACCTGGGGTTATCTAAACCCAAATCCACCCCCCGGGGCTTCACGAACCCCAAATCTGCCACCTGGGGTTATTACCTAGACTCAAATCCACCCCCCGGATGATCTAGACCTAAATCCACCCCCAGGGCTTTACTGACCTAAAATCCATCACCCAGAACCACCCATACCCCAAATCTACCACCCAGTCTCTCCCCAGCCTCCAAATCCACCCCTGGGACTGCCCTGAACCCAAATTTACCATTCAAACCAGCTGTACCCTAATCCACCAGAGAGCACAAATCTATCACCCAGGGCTGGCCAGACCCCAAATCTACCACTCGGAGCTGCCCAAACACCACATCTATCCCCGGGACCCTCAACACCTAGTCCCTCCCTGAGCCCCGAATCTACCCGAGACCCCTCCACCCAGTCCCTCCCACCCCATTAAATCTAACACCCTGGTAGATCTACTACCCCAAGTACACCCGGACTTCAGGGTGGACACTCAGGGGGCTATAACACCCCCACAGCATCCCCCCATCTCTTTGGTCCTGAGTTTGGGATACCCACTGGCCAGGTAGGATAGGTTCACACAGGGAAGGCTCAGCCCCCTGTCTATTCATGGGCCTGGCCTCAGGCTGGCACAGCTGAGCCAATCTGGAGCAGTGACCACTGGCCTTGTCCTGGGGGTGCTGAGCGTGAGTGTGAAAGACCAGCATCCCTCGATGGGGCCCTGCATGCACGAGCCATCATCCCCTGTCCCATCTGCTGCCCCACCACCCCTGGTCCCCAGAGCCCCAGCACCTGCCTGCCACAGGGTACAGGTCTCCTCTGCCTGCTTCTGGAACAGCAGTGCATCCTCCAGCTGCTTCCGCAGGTGCTCCAGTGACTTCTCCAGCTTCCCCTGGGGGGACAGAGACCACGCAGAACCATGAGACCCCTGCCCAGCGCCGGGACCCTCCTGGTGGGGTCCTGTTTCCTGGGCACAGAAGTCCACCCATTTGCACCTGACCTCCTGTCCCAAGTTCCTCCAGAGACAATGGGGACAAAATCCTCTTCGTAGGCAGCATCCCCCTGTTGCCACTGAAGCTGAGATCCCCCAGCCCCTTTCCCAGTTTTGATCAACAGTCAGGGCCAAGTTTTGTTCTTTGCCTAGCATGAAGCTGTCTTTCCAGTTCTCAACCCCGCTGCTCCATCCCAGGCCCTCCCACCTTTGTGAGGCTACCAGACGGGCTTCCAGCTGGGCACCCAGCCAGGCCTCAGCCTGCTCCCTGCCCACCCTGTGTGGCCAGGCTCCCTTGACAAGACACAGTGTCTGTCCCCCTGCCTCCCAAGCTGGCTCTGAAGATGCCGAGGTCTCCTTGTCTCCATGCCACCCTCCCTTCCTCCTCTTCCTTCCAAGGGCACCAGCCAGGCCCGATGAGACAATTGTAATGTTTGTATCTCCCCAAATTCAATGCTGAAATCCTAATTCTTATGGTGAGCATATTAGGAGGTGGGGACTTTGGAAGGTGATTAGGTCACGAGGGTGAAGCCTTCATGAATGGGTTTGGTGCTGTTATAAAATGGACCCCAGGAAGCTCCCCCATCCCTTCCACCATGTGAGGACACAAGGAGAAGACACCATCTCTGAACCAGAAAACAGGTCCTCAGCAGACACTGAATCTGCCACGCCTTGATCATGTGAGCAATAAGTTTCTGTTCTTTTAAGCCACCCAAGCTATGGTACTTTGCTCCTGCAGCCCACACCAGACATCCCACCCCACCTTTTCTGCAGGCCCCTTAGCATCTTGCAGCATGTTCAGCTTCACTGTAGCTGTGGGGTGGCCATGGTCACATTCTGTTTCCTTGGTCCTGATTTCTCATTTCTACCTTTTCTCAAGTGCACACCAGGAAGACAGTGAGAGCCTTATAAACAAGCCAATGTGACGGCGCATGCTTGGGTGTTCTTAATAGTCTCCTAAAAGGGCCTATAAAGGTTCCTTAATGTGTTAGGACACACTCACCACCTAGGGGCCCTGTGGACTGAGGTGCTGGGAGGTTCCGGAAGGCTGCCCGGGTGGCCAGGCCAGCATATGACCTCAGCCTTGTAATCGAGGATGGCTGGCACATCAAGAGCACCACAGATGTGTCAAACTCCTGTTGTCCCTGCCTGGGCTCAGCTACCACATGGGCCACAGCAAGAGCCCCAGACTGGGGCCCCTGTCCCCAAGCCTCCTTTGACACTGCTGCCAGCCTCCTCTAGAAAACTCAGGCCTGGCCCGTTTTCCCGACCCCACTACGCACACCCTCAACTTCTCCTCAATGTCTTGGTCTCTCTGCAGCATTTTTCAACTTTCGATTTTGAGGGTCACATTTTTAAAACAATGGATTAGGACATAAGATGCTAGAGTGCATCCGATGTGGCAAAGACCTCTCGTTTCAGCGGCCACATCCCTGGGTGTGTGGTGGGGTCAGAATGAAAACCTTCTTACCCTGAGTGTGGCCTCATCTTATGGTAACCCCCGCTTGCATCTCCCCAGGCTGCCTGATGCACTATCCAGAGAGAACTGGGGGCTGTCCCCTCTCCTTCCCCCAGTGCTGTGTCCTCATACTGGGCCTTACTGGGATTCTTCTGTTCATGCCCTAGGGGGAACCCCGCCTGGGTCTGGTTCATCCACGACCCCAGGTCACAGCCAGGCAAGGAATAAAATGTCCTGGAGTGAACAGGCCCCACACCCTGTGGGGTCCGGCATGGCCTGGGGACCTGTAGCCCAAGCTCTGCTGAACAGATGAACAGTCCCTTGAGGGCAGGTAAAAGCAGTGTGCTGGGGTATTCCCCAGCATTGACTCAAAGTAGGCCCTGGCATTAGTGAAGAGGAGAACAAACGATCCCAAAATATGCCGCTTTGGCATAAGTAAGATGCAGGAGGAGCTCTCTGCCCTCCTATCTGCCTAAGAGCAGGGCATGGATTTCCCATGAGAAAAACGCCCTCCCTCTTCCAGTAAGAGATTATATGATTCACCAAAGATGAGTCTGCCTGAACAGTCCTTACTTAAATTAATAACCCTATCTTCCATTAGTTCCCCCATATATTTCCTAGTCACTTTCCCCAAATTTATTAGCCCTAGAAGCCCCAACCCCCTTTCCTTTGTCTACTCACTCCTCCAACATATATCGACCTTTGTTAAAATGATATGAATATAAGCCCCAGAGTCTAAGGGCTTCCTTGGGTTTTTCCATTCTTTTCTGAAAAGTCTCCATGCACATGAAATTAAATATATTAATAAGATTACATGACTTTTCTGCTAACCTGTCTTCTGTCAGTTTAATTCACAGCCCCCAGTCACAGAACCTAAGAGTAAAGTTTTTTCCTCTCCTGCAATAGAAGAGGCTTAAGTGCTGTCCCATGAGACTTTATCACAGCAGCTCTGGAGAGCTGCTGGTCACTTTCTACACCAATCAGGGTGCTTGGTTACAGAAGGGCCTGGGCTGACATGTTTGAAATGTGTACATTCCTGCATGGACAAAGTGAGAAGAAAAATCACCAGAACCCATGTGTGCACAAACCCACTGACATGACTGTAAACCTCCTTCATGCTAAAATCCAAAGCGGGTGTGTGTTGGGAGGGGGGGGGGGGGGGGGGGGGGGGGGGGGGG